TTAGGTTAGGTTTGGCTATAGTTAGGTTAGGTTTGGCTATAGTTAGGTTAGGTTTGATTGGGTTAGGTTCGTTTTTAACGGTGTATACATAATGGATCATTGAGTAAAGGAATAAAGCGCTTGAGGACAAATTACCTTGGGATGATAGTTTGAATGTCTTGATGGCGCCAGCACGAGCAATCAACATTGCATGGCGTCTCCTTTTAGGAATGACGCGCTTATGGTTGGTGTATGTACTACCTCGGTTGAGAGAGAGAGAGAGAGAGAGAGAGAGAGAGAGAGAGAGAGAGAGAGCGGAAGCTGAGGATGGATGTGATGTTCAGGCGGTCTACAGGATGATGGTGGAGGTATGATTAAGTGACACACACACACACACACACACACACACACACACACACACACACATACACACACAGCAGTTGAGGGAAGATCACGGGTGGGTCAATTATCTTAAGAAGTCGTGCATGGGAGAGAAGGTCCAAGACTGTCTTTATCTTGTTAAGTTTCTCTCTCTCTCTCTCTCTCTCTCTCTCTCTCTCTCTCTCTCTCTCTCTCTCTCTCTGTAATGTCTGTCTATTTTGGTGTGTGTCTGTCACTCTCTTTGTGTTTCTTCTTGTTTGATTGTCTCTCTCTGTCTGTATTTGTCTGTTTCACATTTCGTTTGTTTTTTCTTTTTTTTATCTCACGTTTCTTCATTTATGTCTATTCTGTAAGTTTATTCGTTCTGTTTACAACTTTACGTTCATTGTCTCTCATTCCTACTGTCGCTTTTTCTAACATATTGAAACCTGCCCACTAACATTACAACAACAACAACAACAACAACAGCACCACCACCACCACCAACAAAAAACAACAACAATTACAATAATAATAACAACAACAACAGCAAGAAAGACAATTACAAGTTAACACGTATTATATAGGACCTCAAAAATAGCACAAAAACTCCTGTCTTATTTCAAATTGTAGAGAAAAAAAAGTGGAACTACACTCGTGAAACTAAATTTTTTTGATGTGTATTAAAAAATATTTCCCTGATCATCACTTTAAATCCTTCGCCATGGTGGACGGCGAGGGCAGATGCGCGACTCATTTAGGATATTAAACTACCCTGATTCTACGAACTGACTCTAGCCAGCCAGTAAAGTAATTATGCCGCTAATTATCTTCGATCGACATGAAATTAGGGGACGATGAAAGTTTACTTCAGTGTCCCGTCTGATGGTGGTGAGTTTTCTATGATATGTCGGTGGGAGGTGAAAAGCCGTGGAGTATTACAGTTGCTTGTACTATTATAATAATATAATATACTGTAATGCAGTAATAATATTAATAATAATAATAATAATAATAATAATAATAATAATAATAATAATAATAATAATATATTGTACAGTAGAATAATATTCGTGGATTCACAACACTAATAAACTTGCTGTGTTGTGAGTTACCACACTAATAAACTTGCTGTGTTGTGAGTTACCACACTAATAAACTTGCTGTGTTGTGAGTTACCACACTAATAAACTTGCTGTGTTGTGAGTTACCACACTAATAAACTTGCTGTGTTGTGAGTTACCACACTAATAAACTTGCTGTGTTGTGAGTTACCACACTAATAAACTTGCTGTGTTGTGAGTTACCACACTAATAAACTTGCTTTGTTGTGAGTTACCACACTGATAAACTTGCTGTGTTGTGAGTTACCACACTGATAAACTTGCTGTGTTGTGAGTTACCACACTGATAAACTTGTTGTGTTGTGAGTTACCACACTGATAAACTTGTTGTGTTGTGAGTTCACAGCACTGATAAACTTTCTGTTGTGAGCTCACAGCACTCACAAATTTGCTGTGTTGAGAGCTCAAGGCACTCATAAACTTGCTGTGTTGTGAGCTCACAGCGCTCATAAAATTGCTCTGTTGTGTTGTGAGCTCATAGTATTAATAAACTTGGAAGCTGTGAGCTCACAGCGCTGATAAACTTGCTTTGCTGTGAGCTCCCAGCTCTGATAAATTTGCTTTGCCGTAAGCTCACAACACCCTTATAGTGATAGTGAATTCATGAAGCCCAAACAGAAGAAGTGACTTTATATTTCCATATAGAGTGTTTGAGGCGGATCTGTGTGTGTGTGTCTATGTTTGGTTGTTCTCGGGAGAGTGACACACACACACACACGCGTGCACGAAAGTGATACATTATCAATAGTACTACCGGCAGCTGTTGTGGTCAAGGGCCAGCTGATGATAGCTTTGTTAGTGTTTATATGTGACGTCATAATCTTGTCATGCCTCTGACTGGTTGACTAGTTCCACCACGTCTCCTGTTTGGTTGGTGATCTCCCTCTCTCTGGGGACTGTAAGCCATCAATAGAAATCCCTCTGTCTATTATAAGATGTATATAAGATGATGCGTCTTTTCCCTGATTTAATTTGCTTTCTCAGTGTGTGTCTCTCTCTCGTTCTCAGACGGTTATGTGGTTCCTAAATAAGGTTATACAGTAGACAGTGAAGAAGAGAATCACTTCTTTTGATCTAATCGTACACATGATGCAGTAATATAAGACTTAAGCGACGCGCCTCTCTACTTGACCATGTACGGCTCGTGAGGATGTTGACACAGATAAGACTCCACATGTCAGTGAGGCCATGATAAAGTTACTTTGCATAATACTTGTACGAATATTAATCCTGATGCTAATAGTAATAGTAATGTTGATACTAATGATATTAATAAGGGTTCAGGGATCTTATCACAACATTATTATAAAGGCCACAGAAGAAAAATTTCCGCAGAGCAGTTTTTATCTGGGAAGGAAAATGATAAAGATGGTCTCATATCTTGACGTAAGACAAAATTCCCAAGTTTCAAAGTTTTGATGCACACACACACACACACACACCACTGAGGTATCCGTAGATGACACCGGGTATACAGTGTTGGTGGTTATGTAATCGGTATTAAGTGTCACTGTACATACGGTAGATGTATTAATATGTTTACTATACTGTAGTCAACTATGTGTCTCCCACAGAAATAACAGAAGTTAATGATCTTGCGTGATATAACTTCCATTCACTGTACATCATGTTTACTTTCGTCCTTGAGTCACGCCGCCACAACAATAAGTTTCACTTCCAGTTCCTCAAGGAAGCAGATTAGTCCCCAATAGAAAGTATTGACATCCTTTGACCTTAATTTACAAAATATCACCTCACAATTGCACAAAATCAAGGAGGAATGTCTTTTATGTTAGTTTCCAGATTTTTCCGATTTGCTTCACGTAGCGCGAGGGCTGGTTTTTGGGTACCCCCTAACATCCTGTGTAGAGTAAGGTGAAGCCCAGAAGCATTTCAGCTGCCATCACGGGAGCGGCGTCCAGGCTTGCCTTCTTAGACTTACATGAGAGTGCCTGAGGGACCTTTACTTTTTGTTAAGTTACACGTGGTGAAGTAACAATAAGTGTATATAGAGAGGATTACCTGTATAGTTCACCTGGCAACGCATGGTAGGTCCCTCATAATAAGTGCCAGGACTGTCACGAAAGGGAGGGATATTTGGTCAAGTGTGGGAGGAAGGGCACGGTGGGGGTGAAAGGAGGCAAATAAACTGCCAGTATTGTGGGACATAACTTTAGTTTATTTGTAATGCGTGTCAGGAGTGTACCGGGGGACAGGGTGATGGAGGTGCACATGCCAGCTGGGGGAGACGTACTCGGACTCTTTAGGAGGAACTACTTGGGCGGCCAGATCCGACGCTGTAGCAGGCGATGAGTCAGTAAGCCGGGCACATGGCAAGATTGAAGGCACAAAGTGGGCAGAGCCTACCAGGACATACCCGAAGGCGGCCGCGTTAGCAATGGGGAGGCTCACAGAAGAGTAACCAGCTTGAGATGAGCCTCGGGAGGGGCGGCGTCAGAGTACCGTCGACGGATGGCATCTGACAGTGGTCACTCTTTTAGAACTAGTGACTGAAGGTCTTAAGGTCGTCCACACAAAAGGGTCAACCTGACGCAAGCCTTACACTGGCCGGCTTTTTCAAGAACTCTATTTGTTACGTGTTACCTGTCGAGAATTTTAAGTAATGTGTGTTACTGTACATGCAAGAGTAAGGGTTAAACAAATGGTTCATCCGTGATATTGTTCAGAGGAAAGATGTTGTTCAGTATTTGGTAAATTTGTCAAGACGTTTGGTGTACACCCGGTAATATTTAATGCTGTTATATTACCAACAGCCCTGTTAACCCTTATCACCTACACACACTTGACACATAATGCTGTAGGTGAAATATTGAAAGTGGGTCCCTAAGGCCCTTAAGGGACAGTGTAACAACACACTATACTAAGCCCTCGGTACGCAAGGAGGCAGCGTGATCGGCACTACACTTGACTGCCTTCAGTTCCCAACTGAAAAATTAGGTACAGTTTGATGGACGAAGAGTGCTCAGGGATCGAACCAGCAACCCTTCGGACAGGAGGCGATCGCTGTCCTCTCGGACTCCGCACCCTTATATGATCGGTAGATGTTCTATTAATACGCTGCCTGTGTACAGAGGGTAATAATGGTGAGGATGCTGGTGTTGGCGCTGGAGAAGCCGTAAGTTAGTCCAACTGTGGGTCTGTTGCCGGAGAGGAAACCGTCATTGATAAGTATCCTGCCAGGGAACGTTATCTCTCACACATGCTCCTCCGCCATCACGGCGCGGCGTCCGAAAGTCTCCAGATTCCTACGCTTTAAACCCCTAACTGAAACTCTTAGGCTTTTCATACCCTAATTACTTACCATTGAACACTATAACTTATTAAATGCTTTTACCTCATCAGACCGAGTCATGTATATGTTTATCTACTGTATATGTTTGTGTGACTCGACGAGTTAATTAGGAGAGTAGATAGGTAGGTGTTGGTAGATTGGGGGTTGGGACGCGTGTACTGCTGTATTGTGACACTACTTTAGCTAGGGATCACTGGTGCTCGTGTCAGTTCTTCTAAGTCGCTGCTACCGTGCGCATCTACCAGTGATACTCGTTCGTTAATTATCTACTTGATTTCCACTCATTTAAGTTTATAGTTACTAATGAAGCACGAGATTACTTTAATTACGTGCCGAAATACGTATTTACTTAGTGAGTGGCTACCTAAATATGTCTATACTTAAATAAGTACTTATTTAAGTATGTGACTGTTTAAATACGTGTTTTAAGTACGTGAATACTGAAATTTGTACTTACTGATGGACTCACCGACTAAAATAATAATCTACGTGACAAGACAAGGAGCAATACTTGTGTGGAGAAAGAAATATGTGGTTTTAAACTTGACATACAGTATACACTCCATACTACAACGAGTCCAAATATGGAGATTATTTATATATTGAAAGAAGCTAGTACTCGTAGACAGCTGTACTCGAGAACATTGATATATACATGTACTCAAGAAATTTAGTTAAAGGATTGTAATGGTGAAAATTTGCAGTGGATAACTAACTTCTGATGTAGTAAGAAAAACAAACAAATAAGGAAATCAATGGATAAAAACTGGTAGATTGTGATTTAAAATCCTTAATTCCGTACTATAAACCCCACACGCGGATTAAAACACTGAACACATTAAAACTGATGTAAATGACATTATTTTCATTTTTTAAAAGATCATGTGAGAGACTATCTGAGGCATGAGATTTTTAACCCCGGAGTGACGTCAATATCCCCTGTTTGTCCATAAAGAGACGGAGGAGATAGAAGGCAGTGGTGTTAGTGAGAGTTAAACATCCTTAGTCTAGTTTGGAAATACAAGAGAGAGAGAGAGAGAGACAATAGTAGTCGTGTTTTTCCCGTTGGAGAGACTTGAAAGATCTGTGTTGTTGTGAGAGATACAAGAGTTATGACGGAAGACCCAGAGAACACCAAGAGAACTTTGTGTTGTGGGGTGACAGGTCGATGTCAGGTTGACACCGAAGATGGAAGGAACGAAGAAGTAAAGACCAGGATGGAGAACGAAGATACACAAAACGAAGAGGATAGCTCAGAAGAAGAAAACATGGATGAGGCAAAGGAAGGAGAAAAGAATGGAAGTGAAAATGAACCAGATGAGCAAGGCAAAGAGTATCAAGAAACAGAAATGAACAGAAGAGAAGGCTGGAAAGAGATTAACGTGAGGGACATTGAGGAAGGAAAGGATAGGAAAGAAGAAGAGGAACTACCTGGCGAGTCAGAAAAACAAGAAGTCGTCGAGGGACAAGTCAGGCTACGGAAGAACAGCATCCAGGAGCGACGTAAGTTCAAGGGACCCTCAGGACCCACCCAGGACCTGAGGCTCCCTGTCCAAAGGTCTTTCTCCTCCTCTCGTCTCAGCTTTGACCAGTACTCCGACAGTGGCTCTGAGTCAGCCAAAAGCGACCCTGTACAATCACCCTCGGGAGGCTCGGGTCGCTCTGGCCCCAGGAGCCCGGCACTGACGATGCTCAGTCGGGTCTTCAGCTTCCACGGAATTCGATCGCCGTTAAAGAAATCGCCACCTTGTTCCCCTGGGAAGTCGCCAACATCTGACCCCGGGAAAAGAAAGTCACTCCATTTGCCGCTACATCGAAGTCCTTCCTCTCCGACTTTCCGTAACACGAGCCAAACCAACGGCGCCTCAAGATTCTCCTTCGAGGGATCCCCAAAGTCCTTATCTCCAAAGTCAAACACCTCTCCCAAGTCCTTCTTGAACAGGGACTCCCAAAAGAACAAGTCCCCAAGTAGTCCCAATCGGTTAGGGTCCATGATGAGGCATGGATCCCAATTTTATATTCCCTCTCCTGGGTCTTCCTCCAAGAACAGTGGCAGTCTCGTCTCTTCGCCTGGCTCACCACCACCGTTGCTCCTGGGCGGTACGGTGGAGATGATGGACGGTGCGGGAATCCTGTACCGTCCCTCTTCGAGCCGAGGCGCTAACCACAACAGGAACCACAGGCGAACCAGGTCTGACACTTTCAGGCTAATGGAGACGAACCGAGGAGGCAAGGAAGCTGCCATGAACCCCAGGAAGAGGAGCAGAGATGACTCAGAGTAAGTAATTAACTCTTGAGTAGAGTAGCTGACCACAAGCTCTTGCTACTAGTGAGTAAGTAGTCACCACTGAGAGTAAATAACGGATTTAAGTAAATCAGAGCAAATAACAAACCACTTCATCTGTACCGATAACTCTATCTATGCAATACTTGTAGCTGTAGCTGTATCTGAACCTGAAATTTTACCTGTAATAGCACTTGCATATGTATGTACTTGAACTGTTATTTCTGAATTAATATTACATCAAGAATTTTTACCACTAACTACCAGATTAGTTATGGTTAACGAAGGGTGTTATCACATTACTTATTATAAATATCGGGGTAAATCCTTATCTCCGGTGATAAGGTCGAGGTTTTCTGCAGTAAATTAGTGAGTATCAACTTAATGGTGAAAAGGTATTGTCTCCTGTTGGTCGGGATTATAGTGGTAGAGTATAAGAGAGAGAGAGAGGGGGGGGGAGGGATGCGTTACCGTTACAGCACCAGCACACAAACTGGATACAAGGGCTCCACAATGTTACACCCCACAGTACACCGCCGCTAAATCCGGGCTGAGAACTTAAGCCAACAGTTTTTAGTGGTATTTTTGGTAACTTGTCCTCTGTTAATAAAAAACTGAAACTGTGTCACACTCGTTGACTCTATGTTAGTGATGTATGTATGTATGTATGTATGTATGTATGTATGTATGTATGTTTTTCACATACTGACACACACTCACACACACACACACTCACACACATCACATTTGATCACACATTTCCATCAATCTTACACAAGTTCTCTAAGGTTGATTATAATTTTGTGGAAATTCCTAACATCCGACGTTGACATCAAAAGAGGAGATTTTTTTCATAATCAAAGAATTTTTTCTTTGTGTAGCGAAGAGTATTGCATTTATCATCGTTCAGGTGATAAAAAAGTGTTGTATAATTCAGAAAACAAAGTTGCTTCTTAATGATACTACTACCACTACTACTACTACTGCTACTATTACTGCTACTACTACTACTACTACTACTACTACTACTACTACTACTAATAGTAATAATAATAATAATAATAATAATAATAATAATAATAATAATAATAATAATAATAATAATAATAATAGAGGTGTCTCGTAGCATAAGAGTTAAGAGACTTCATTAAAAATATTATTTATTGAAGAATATTTGCAGAAAATAATAAATATTTTCACGAAATATTCAGTAAGGAAAATCCTGAATAATTTGGTATCTTTATGTTTTGGTTTTGTCGTTTAAATGTAGATTACCCAGTTACTCTCTCTCTCTCTCTCTCTCTCTCTCTCTCTCTCTCTCTCTCTCTCTCTCTCAGACGTTTTATTTCTGTTATCTCTCTTCCTTATCTCTGTTCCTCTCTTTTTATCTCTGTCTCTTCATCTCTCGTATCTTCTCTCTCTCTCAGGCCGCCATCACGCTGATCTCTTCATTATTGGGTCAAATTTGTGTTGGGCCTTATGAGTCGAGAGAGAGGTGAGAGAGTCTTGTGGTTCACCTGGGTGGAGGTGGAGGCAAACTCTTATACCTTGGAGAAAGAGGGAGGAAGTAGAAAAGAAAGGGGGCGAGAGGAAGGAATAAGAAGGGTAGAGATGGAGTGAAGAAGAGAGGAAAATGGAGGATTTGGAGAGATGGATGAGCATAGAGAGAGAGAGAGAGAGAGAGAGAGAGAGAGAGAGAGAGAGAGAGAGAAAGGAGCTTTAGAGATTGGAAGGATGGAGAAAGGGTAGATGGGAAAGGGGGAGAGAAAAGAAGAAGGGAGAGTAGGGAAGGAGGGAGAAGAAGGGAAAGGGAGAAGAGGAGAGAAGGGGGAGAAAGAGAGAGGAAGGGAGAAGGGTGAAAGGAGAGGAAGGGAGATGATAGGAGAGGAGGAGAGATGGTGAAGGAAGGGAGAAGGGTGAAAGGAGAGGGAGGGAGAGGAGGGAAGAAGGGAGAGATGGTGAAGGGGGAAGGGAGAGGAAGGGTGAAGAGAGAGGCTAGAAGGGAAAAGGATGGCAGGCTCCTCCCTCACCTCCGTTAAGCCCCCCCATTCCTGTCATCGCTACGACAAATTACATCACTGACGGATTTCCCCTCACGAGATCACCTCACCACTCCCTCTTCTCTTCCCCTCTCATTCCTCTTCTCCACCCCCTCTTCTTCTCTTCCCTTCTCACTCCTCTTCTCCGCTCACTCCTCTTCCTCCTTTCTTCACCTCCTTTTCTCCCTCACTTCTCATCTTCACTCCATATTCCCTTCTTCCTCACTTCTCCCCTCACCCCTCCTCTCCTTCTCTATATTTCTTGTTTTTCCTTACCCCTCACTTCCCATCTTTCGTTTCTTCTCTATTCTCCCCTAGTTTCCCATCCCCACCTCCTTACTTTAGCTTTCTTTCCCCCTTCCTCATTTCTCTGGTTGTGGTATAGGAGAGAGAGAGAGAGAGAGTGTGTGTGTGTGTGTGTGTGTGTGTGTGTGTGTGTGTGTGTGTGTGTGTCAAAAGTACCTAAAACATAACATCAACATCCTGAGTGATAAGAGTAGTAAGAACACATTACACGAGATAACTATTTAGGCTGGTTGTCATATACGTTAAAATGTCATTAAAGTTGACGTGATTCAGAAGGAAACATGTATATGATTTTATTCACTATTGTAAAACGTAAGATGACAGAAAATGACGTAATATAAATCAAATAGACTTAGGAATTTACAATAGAAACGACAAAACACGACAACGACACAATACGACAACGACACAACACGACAACGACACAACACGACAACGACAAAACACGACAACGACACAACACGACAACCACACAATGTATACATAGACAGTGCATGTATAAAATAATGCAACCGGAGTATGCAGGTACAGTTCGACCAAGGCTATCACAACCAAGCCATCAAAGGAATATTTCCAGTAGGGTGCAATTATTTCCACTACACATGGCCATCAGTACGTTGTGACACAGAGAACCAGTTTCCTTAAGAAGTATACAAGAATTATTTGTATATTAGTTCTAAGTAAAGGATGTCAATAGGACTATTAAAAACTATTATGTTGGGATTAAAACTTCCTATTGTTAATTTTATATTCCCAATAGTATTACCAACCTTGTGAAACATTTGGCAGTCCATAAAGTATTGTGTGTGTGTGTGTGTGTGTGTGTGTGTGTGTGTGTGTGTTGAAGATAGAGCTGAAATTTGGTAGGGAAGTGCGGGTGACCTTGGGGATAATTGTGCTCTATCTCGCGTCCCTTCACCCGGGTTAGATGAAGCCCCGGGTAACTCAGCTAGTTCATTATGCATAGTGACATGAATCTGATTTTTTAAGTGGTATAATATGTTTAGTTTAATCTTTAGTTTAAAATGTGTTATGCTGTGTTAATTTTCAATGTCATGTATGTTGAAATATGACTAAATATATGTTTTGGTTTTGGTAATGTGTCCAGTAAAATTATATCACCACTTTTATCTATCTGAATAACATGAAATTTTTGTTTTCCTTTCGCATTTTAATTACGTTCACGCTATTTGATATATTTTGAGGAGGGGGTGTCTGTAAAACTTATAAACAGCTGACTCATGTAAACAATGTGTTGACTGTAAAATTATAGCTGACACATTTAAACATTGTGTTGAGTGAAACATTATAGCTGTAGTTTAGATACAAGGAAAGACCTATTAATTAACTTCCTGTTGTGTGGATACGGGAAAACAGACATTAAATAGCTTTTATCTACAACAGAAAAGACATTAGCAAAGTTATAATATATCTATAATCTAGGCGAAAAAATTATACTGCTATTTGTGGAAGGTTAACTATCCACAAGCAAGGGAATGCAAATTTACCCTCTAGTGAATTGCTCAACGGAGGAGCTTCATAACACTGTTGAAAAGTTTGGAGATTATGTTAGTTAATCTAATGACAGGAGGAGGGGTGAGGGGTGACTGTTGGAGGGAGGAAGGGTGAATTGGAGAGAGGGTGGGAGGAGGAGGAGGAGGGGTGAGTTGGAGAGAAGGAGGAGGGGTTAGTTGGAGAGAAGGAAGGGTGGAGGAGGGGTAACCAATGGAGGGGGGAAGGGTGAATTGAAGAGAGGTGGGAGAAGGAGGAGGGGTGAGTTGGAGAGAAGGAAGGGTGGAGGAGGGGTGACCAATGGAAGGAGGAAGGGTGAATTGAAGAGAGGTGGAAGAAGGAGGAGGGGTGAGTTGGAGAGAAGGAAGGAATGAAGAAAGGAAGGAGGAAGGGTGACCGATGGAGGGAGAAAGGGTAGCTGGTGGAGGGAGGGAGAGTTCCAGAGAGGAAGGAAGGAGGAGGGGTGACTGTTAGACTGATCGAGGGAGGCAGGAGGAAGATCAGAAGAGCTGAAAAGAAGAGGAAGGAATACAAGGAAACAAGAAGGAGGGTAAAGGATGAGAGAGAGAGAGAGATATATATATATCAGTTACTTGTTTCCTGTTAGTTGAGTATATTTTCCAGGAATCCTGACCGTATTGTTAAGCCACGGATATATTTATTTCCTCAAGATTTCAGTTCGGTAATTACGTAATATAATATTTTTACTATTTTTTTTACTATTATTGTATGACTATTAACAGCTATTACCTTCTATTACTTTACAGATGTGACACAATGCCCAACGAATTAAGGTACGTAATTCTTCATGTTGTGATTTGTCCTATGGTCTATTTTCTTATTATGAGACAAGTGGTGTTATTTTTTAATTGGTTATTTGTGGATTATGGAAGTGTATGATAATTATTGATGTTATTTTCAAAGGTAAGTGTTGTATTATTTCAGTATTACATTGTGGTGTTATTATTGTTTATTTTGTTATTTATGTATTATGGAATTGTATGATAATAATTAATGTTATTTTCAAAGGTAAGTGTGTGTATTATTTCAGTATTATATTGTGGTGTTATCCCTGTGTTAAATATTATAAACTTATATTTAATCAAAGAAAATAAATATATCTTTTTCTTTCGTAAATTCACCAACACATATTTTTTTTTATTGATTCTATGTTCGTAAAACTAATTAATTTATTTCTGGCGATTCAAAGGAGTGGAAAATTATGAACGGAATCTAATTTATTCCTTCTGACGTTGAATTTTTTTTTGTATTGGGGAAAAAAATATATATTCAAGTTTAATCACATATATAGTTCAAGGTTCCAATACGTTTTTCTTAATTATTGACCTCTTTGGTATTAGTCGGTTCGGTCGGATCGGTTGTATCGGTCGGGTCGGTCGGATCGGTCGGGTAGGTCGTTGACAAGTACTAGACATGTACTGTACGAGGTGTTGTATGTACCCGAACAGGTGTCAGTGTTTGTTAAGTCTGGATTAATTGAGATAAGGGTTTTTAAAGGTCATCTGACATTTATATTGATACCTTCACAATATTCTCTGGCAGGTCAAAGACGGAGGGGTATTTTTTTGCCATGGGGGACACACTTCATATCTATCTATCTATCTATCTATCTATCTATCTATCTATCTATCTATCTACCTATCCATCCATCCGTCCGTCCGTCCGTCCGTCTGTCCATCCATCCATCCATCCATCTATCCATCTATCTACCCATCCATCCGTCCGTCCGTCCGTCCGTCCGTCCGTCTGTCCCATCTATCATCATCTATCTATCTATCTATCTATCTATCTATCTACCTATCCATCCATCCGTCCGTCCGTCCGTCCGTCTGTCCATCCATCCATCCATCCATCTATCCATCTATCTAATATTGCAGACGGAGAAGTTAGGTCGTTATACCCAGATGATCACTACAGTAACAAGCGGTATAACGGACGCTGCTCTACACACTCACAGCTCTTTAATTCCTCCGCTCGATGCTTTAAAAAATTACGTCCAAAGGTTCCCAGTGTAATATTAATGACATATTTTCACGTATAAAAGGTCCATGAAACGCTTAGTAATTTTTTTTTTTATTTATTGTGAAACTGTGACTCGGTACATGGAGTGTGTGTGTGTGTGTGTGTGTGTGTGTGTGTGTGTGTGTGTAGGTGATGACGTAATGATAGTTGTTAGTGTTAGATGGGGTGATTATGTAATTTGGTTTGCTCGATGTGTAAATATTATTGTGTAGAAACTCTGGCAACCATAATTCAGGTATGAACTCTGGATTAATCTAACTTAACCTAACTTAACCTAACTTAACCTTTGTCACTATTTCAGTCTGTTTTTATTACTTCACCCAGATAATCATGTAAACTTAGATAATGTAATCTAAATCACTAAAAAAAAGGACTAATGTAGTCTGAATAAAAAAAACTAATATAATCAGAATAAAATTGAAAAAAAGCAGTAACCAACCCTCAAAATATTAATAAAATTAAGACAAATATAAACACAATGTAAATGAAAATTAAAAACCCCAATAAAACCTGAATTAAATTAAAAACCAACGTAATCAAAGTAATTAAATTGAAAATATACATAAAAAAACAGTTTTGAATTAATAATAACTGATATGTAAAAACAAAATAATAAAAAAATGAACTGAAGTAATTAAATTTGGTCTTCTAATTAAAATATTATAGGATTGAATTAATGTTATCGGAACTAAATGTAAAAATAATATTAAAATTAAACTGAGTATATCCTACATCCCGTTTTCTGAGGAAGGGAGGGGGGGGAGAGGTGGGAGGGAAGGGGGTGTCACCAGATAGCTCCCTCCCCTCCTCTGCCTCCCCCACCCTACTCTGCTGGGCGAGATTAGATCAATTTTACAACCCCGAGTTAATGACCCTGATTATCTTAAATTGAATGAGCTATTTGGGTAAGATAGCCAAATTGGAGGTGATGGTGTTCAACATCTGCTACTAGTATATATTTACTAGCCTATTTCTGCTTATTTTACCTATTTCGCCAATTTTTTGCTTATTTTATCTATTTCATTTCTAAGTCATGTTTGTTGAGTTTCCATTTGTTAAATATTTAGTCAATCGTGTTAAGTTTCCTTTAAGTAATTTTAAATATTTGTTTTCCAATTTCCATCGGTCAGATTTCGAAATCAGTTGTGTTCAGTTTCATCCCATTAAATTGTGAGCCAATCCAGTGTTCAGTTTGTATTTGTCTAATTTCTAAATTAAACGTGTTCAAATTTCGTTTAATTAACATCTAAATCAATCTTGTGTTCAATTTCCATCTACGTAATTGTGTTTTTCCTATTTTTACCATATTAATTTCCATCCAGTTTTCCTATTAATTTCCTATCTCGTTGTATGGGTACTTTTTTTAAGCCCTATTCCCTTTCAATTTCCTCCCCATTAATTTTTAAAACAAGTGTGTGTCCTCTCTCTAACCTCCTCCTCCCTCCCTCCTCCCACACCTGTACAATCCATTGTACGTCCTCCTTCTCCACCCTCCTTCCTCCCCCTTTCACCTCTTTCCCAATCTTCTCATTCTCTCCCCTGTCTTCGTTCCCTTAATTTCACCTCTCTTAGATCTGTTCTCTCTCCTCGTCCTCTCTCTAATCCTCAACTGAACCCTCCAACGCCTTCAGCCATCTTGTTTCCCTATCCACCCCCCTAAGCCCCAACACACACAACACACAACACACACACACACACACACACACACACACACACACACACACACACACACACACACACACACACATCCTTATCAAGCAGGTAAACCTCGCATTGTGTCACTAACTGTTGAAACCAAACACTCTAGTCTGTTTGGCTGCCGATCTGTCTGTTTGATCGTTTGTGCATCTTTGTGTGTGTGTGTGTGTGTGTGTGTGTGTGTGTGTGTGTGTGTGTCCAGATTGTATTAGTCTCCCTCTATCTTTTTCTCTTCTTCATCTCCCCTCCTCCATCCCCCATATCTCTATCACACACACACACACACACACACACACACACACACACACACACACACACACACACACACCTTCAATTTAGCTGGCAGGTAAAACTGTGGAGAATATTGTATCACCAGCAGCACCCACCCCACACACTGTGATCATTGATGTCTGAAGAGCTTCCCAAAAATGGTCGAGAAGTCAAAGTTCAGGTTGGGGTCACAGCTGGGGGTGGTCTCCGGCTGGTCTGAACTCTGGTCTCGAGCTGATCTCTGTCTGGATTAGATTTCACTTTGGTTTGCTTTTGGTCTTTGTTTTCTTTTGGTTTTGTTATTGTTTGTATATCCGGTCTCTAATAGGTCTCTGGGTTCGGATGGTCTCTGATCTGGTCTCTTATCTGGTGTTCATTTTCATTAGGACTTGGTCTGAAAATGGTCTGTGACAGGTGTTTGATGTTCAATATTTTCTGGCTTCCAGCAGGTCTGTCTGTGGTGTTTAACTGGTCTGTGATCTCTAATAGGCCTTTGGTATTAAACAGGTCTCGGTCACCAACAGGTTTCGGTTGCCAACCGTTCTCGATCGTCAACAGGTCTCGGTCGTCAACAGGTCTCGGTCACCAACAGGTGTCTGTCGCCAGCAGGTCTTGGTCACCTACAGGTTTCGGTTGCCAACAGGTCTCGGTCGTCAACAGGTCTCGGTCGTCAACAGGTCTCGGTCGCCAACAGGTCTCGGTCGTCAACAGGTCTCGGTCGTCAACAGGTCTCGGTCGCCAACAGGTCTCGGTCGCCAACAGGTCTCGGTCGCCAACAGGTCTCGGTCGTCAACAGGTCTCGGTCTCATAGAAGCTTTGATCTCTTGTAGTAAAATAAATAATTTTTTAGGACCCTAATAAGAGTGAGTGTTTTTACCCTCATATTAAAGAGGTGACTTTTGTGAATACGGCCACTAACCCTAAGAACGCTACCACTTACTGAGGCTCGGGTAAGTGTCTGACTTGATAAATACAGCCACTTACCCCTTGAGCGCTACCACTTACTGTTACAGATAATTGATAGTGTCTGTCTTTATGAATACATCCACTTACCCCTTGAACGAACTATACCACTTACTGTTATAGATACTTAAAAGTGTCTGACTTTAGGATTACAGCCACTTACTCCTTGAGCTCTACCACTTACTGTCGCTTGGGTAAGTGTCTGTCTTTATAAATACGTCCACTTACCCCTTGAGCTAACCTAATCTAACTCACCATAACCTAACCTAACCCCCCAGGTACTGTTAGTGTGCTCAATAATGAGGTGAAATAAACTGGGTACTAATCTTTAGGGGTGGTCCCTTGTCTCTTAAGAGTGAGCAAGAGAAGGGAATTTGACTCCATGTAATACAATTCAACCCTTCATGACAACCATTTGACTCTCTAGGATTAGATTTTCTGTTACGTATGAATATTTCGTGTATGAATTTGACTCGGCCAATCACAGCGAAGATCGAGAATGGCGTCATGATCTTACAAGCAACATCAGTTAATATGAATTGAGTGGGATTGACGTCATCGAAAGTCACCATGGTGATGGCAGGGAGTGACGTAGAATTTGTGGCGACCGAATCAGCCAATACTCGTGCAAGGGAATTCTTACGTCACCGTTACCATGGGAACCCCAGAGGAAAATATAGTTTCGCGCGAGGTGATTGGTCGACGCAAACTGAATTGACGCATGGGGCTATACATTATGTAAACAAAGACGATAATAATTACGTATACAAGAGACACCAAACTTAATATCAGGGAGATTACCGTGTAGTCAACTGTCTTCATAGGCCCTAATCTACCCTAGGCCAGTCTTACAGGGACCAGTTTGAAAAGAGCCTCAGTGCTAAAGAAACCTAATCCGAGTCGTTAAGCTAAGTTAAACTAAGTCTAATTACGATATTGTGGTTCAGTTTTACTTCCAATCAAAATATAGTGAATTAAATTTGTTATATGATACAGTCAGTTGTGACATATTTACACAGGTCATAAATCAACAGAAAAAGAAGAAGAAACTGAACCATTAAAAAGTGAAAAGGAAAATGGGAGGTTGAGTGAGTGAGGGTGGCAGAGAAAATGAGTTTGAGATTGGGACTTTATGAACTTACGACGCCTTAAGGAACTAGAGTGAAAAATGTTATCTGAGTCTTCCTTCTCTCACTCACTGTTTTCTTTATCGTTTGTTTTTTACAGGAAATAATTCATGTTAACCTAACTTAACCTGACCTGACTATCTTAATCTAACTCAAGCTGGCCTGATCTAACTAACTTCACTTTACATAACCTAACCTAACCTGACCTGACTATCTTAATCTAACTCAAGCTGGCCTCATCTAACTAACTTCACTTTACATAACCCAAGCTGACCTAATGTTATTAACCTAACCTAACCTAAGCTAACCTAACCTAACCCAATTATCCTCAGTTAACCTAATCCAATTTCACCTAACCTAACTTAACCTACCCCTAAAATAACATAATTTAACTTAATATATCTTATCATAATCAAATTAACTTAATCACCAATACGATTCTGAGTCTGGGTTCGAATCCGGTTCTGAGTCTTGGTTCGGATCCGGTTCTGAGTCTTAATTCGGGTTCGGTTCTGAGTCTTGGTTCGGGTTCGGTTCTGAGTCTTAATTCGGGTTCGGTTCTGAGTCTTGGTTCGGGTTCGGTTATGGGTCTGTGTTCGGATACATTAATGCATGAGTCTCATCTAATTAACTCAGGTGTGTTATATGTGCAGGAGTACGGGGGTAATGAACGCGGTGTTGAACGAATTGTGTTGGATTTTAATTATATTTGGTACTAGCACACACACACACACACACACACACACACACACACACACACACACACACACACACACACACATACATGTACTAGCCCCTGTCTCATGGCAATAACAATTATATAAATTTGGGTTAATACATTTAGTTTATATAATACAATCACCCTACTGTAATCTTCCATAAGCTGTGAGGTGCCTTGTGCTGTTAACGTGAGGGGAAATTACTCTATCAGTAAACCGACCTTGAGAATGTAGGGTCAGCCCAGCCTCCCCTTCAGAGCCTCCCCTCACAGGCACCTTCACTTGCGTCTCACGAAAATCGGACGGGTGACCTAACTCAGTCAAGCTGAGCCCTTGTCCTTAACTAACACTCACAGCCTCCAGTGTTAATTACGGTGCATCTACTAATAGAGTGTGACCAATATAGTTTTACCAATAAATGGAGAAAAGACCATTTTGGGTTTGTAACTTGACCCCCCCAACTCATTTATAAATTAGCCAAATTAAGGGAACTCTAGCCAAAGCTTATATAGACAGACAGACAGACAGACAAACACACTCACAGACAGACAGACAGACAGACAGACAGACAGACAAACACTCACAGACAGACAGACAGACAGACAGACACGTTTTTTATTATTTTTATATGCAATTATAGATATCTCATAGCCAAGGTCTTCAAGTAATGAAAATTGTCAGTATTTCACAAATCAATCTTTCTATACATTTTATTTTCTTATTTTTCAATTAAGTTTTCTCGGGTTCCTTCACTTCTTTCATTTGTGTGTTATTTTCACGTCTTCAATTCTACTATACTTTCATTTCTTCTTTTTTTTCTTTCATTTTGCCTCCTCTCATTCTTTTTTCTTTATCTCTAACAACATGCTTTAATTTCTGCTGCTTCTACGTTACTTCCTTCATTTCCTTCACCTCGTCCACTATATCTTTCTCACTTCCATCAATTCCCTCATTTTCCTTCTTTCATTTCCTCTGCCTATCGCACTTCCTTCATTTCTTTCACCTCGTTCACTACACTTCTATCACTTCCCTCACTTTCCTTCCTCCATATATTTCCTCTGTCTATAGCACTTCCTTCAATTCCTTCACCCCATCCCCTATCTCTCCCTCACTTCTCTTCCTTAATTTCCTCTCCCTATCGCACTTCCTTCATTTCTTTCACCTCATTCAACACCTTTACCCTCACAGCTTTCACAATGTTGTTTTCATCTGCCTTCATTCTCATTTCAAACATCAAATTGCTTTCTAAGGCTTAACCGAACCAAGGCATGTCCGGTGATGTCTGCCTGACAATATCCGATTAGGTGTGGGAGGGTAGGAGGGGGTGGGAGAGAGAGAGAGAGAGAGAGAGAGAGAGAGAGAGAGAGCACTTCAACATACTTAAACACATACAAAAATAACATCCCCTACAGCTACACGTTGCATGTCATAAACCAATTAATTATAAATTGATAATAAATTGTATGGTGATTACAGTTGCCATTTAGCTATTTGTGTTCGTTATTTTTGTGTGTAATTAGAGGGGAGGGATGAGCCACGCCCCCAGGCTATCGTCATTTTTTTTTATCTCTGTGACGAACAACAACTAGGATGAACAACGGCTATAATATCTGCTAGCGGAACAAATAGGACTTTATTGTTGAGAGAGAGAGAGAGAGAGAGATAGAGAGATAGAGAGAGAGAGAGATTAATAAGAATCTTGTACTCATAAAAAAATTAACAAGTCGAAATTTCCAGTTATAAAGTTCATTACCATACAACACTTTCTCCCCCCCCCCCTAAAAAAATACAGCATCGATAGCAACAAGTTCCTTATCAAAGTAGCAGGAACAGCAACTGCTACAGAATAGTTAAAATACAGGAATGAGATAGGAAGGTGTTAACAAGACGCTGTATCACTTTGTATTCACGGATTTAAGGCATTTAGTTATTCTTATCCTAGAACAGAGACCACTATTTTTTTTTTAATTTCGATCGTATATGAACTGGTGGTATAGTGGAGATGGTACAGTGAGAGCGGTACAGTGGGGAAGCGGTACAAGAAAGGGTGGTACAGGGGAGCGGTACAGATGGGTGTGATACAGTAGGATTTTTAGGGGGGGCATGGTACAGTGGGAATGGTACAGGAGAGGATAGTATAGGGGGGGGACGGTACAGTAGGGGTGGTACAGAGAGGATAGTACTGTAGGGGGTGATACAGGAGGATCGGTACAGTGCTGGCGGTACAGAAGATGCTACTACAATGAAGGTGTTACAGGGGAAGGTGCAGTGGGAGCGGTACAGTAGGAGTGGTACAGAAGAGAGCGACACAGTCACCTTCCACGATCGTTTTCTCTCATAGCAAAATTTTACTCGTTTTTTATGATAAGTCTTCAGCGTACACTGCAATATTTCACCACTAAGACTTAAATTAGGAATAGCCATGAACCAGACACTGCTTTTGTATATGAGCTACAGAAGACAGTATGTAGAGCCTTTGAACGAAATTAAATAACCATTACACCTAAGAGGCCGCTTTGGTTATAATACACATATACGCATTTTAGTTAAGCTCCAACGTTTTGTACCTCAAGGATATAAATAATACGAATAAAATAAATAACACCTTTAAAGAGATCGATAGGTTAGGTTAGGTTAGGTTAGGTTTGGTTAGATTATGTTAGGTTAATTGATACTTGATAATACACATAATATCTAAATTATATAAACAATTATCGAATTTTATGAGTTATTTATGGTTGGACTCGACATCCTGTTTATCTTATGACACTATACTGTATAATATTGTACCTTCAGTATCTCTCTATCTGTAAATACTCTGTGGGTATTTCTACTTGTTGTCATGATCGTTTCCTGTCATTTTCTCCCCTTGTCTTCCACGACTTTCTCTCTCCCTCACCAACCATTTCCTCCCATTCTGTTGACCAGTTATTCACCTCACCTGTAAATAAAGATAATATAGAGATTGATAAACAGATTGGGACAGAGCGTTTGTGGGGGTGTGTAACTATCATGGTCTGTTGTATGTTGGTTGATTGGTTTGTTGTTCTCATTAAATTAGATCAAAATAATGTAATGACCTCATGGACATAAACGCAAACAAGCAAATACACACACACACACACACACACACACACACAGACACACACACACACACACACACACACACACACACACATACACACACACACACACACACACACACACACACACACACACACACACACACACACACACACACACACAGAGGAAAAGGGAGAAGTGAACACACCACACACACACACACACACACACACACACACACACACACACACACATACACACACACACACACACACACACACACACACACACACACACACACACACACACACACACACACACACAGAGGAAAAGGAGAAGTGAAGGCCACACCACACACACACACACACACACACACACACACACACACACATACAGAGGAAAAGGAGAGAAGGCCACACCACACACACACACACACACACACACACACACACACACACACACACACACACACACACACACACACACACACACACAGGAAAGGAGAAGTGAAGGCCACATATATTATTCTCGGTTTCCATTTGTTTGATCGTTTTTTCAAGGAGAAAAACAAGTTTGTCTTATCTGTTGTTTATAGTAAAACCTCGGGAGGAGAGAGAGAGAGAGAGAGAGAGAGAGAGTCGGTTTTTCTCTCATCTTTCACCCCCTCATCCTTCAGTCTTTCATCCCTCACTCAGTCTTTCATCGCTCTCCCTTCAGTCTTTCATCGTTCACCCCCCAGTCTTTCACCCCTCACCACTCAGTCTCAGGAGATGTGAGAGGAAAGTGTCAGGGAGAAATGAGGGAGGGAAGTGGCAATTAAATGTAATTTTCCATGTTATTTAGATGTGACGCAAAGCAGGTGTGAGTGATGGCGGGTCAAATGGTAAAACTTTCCTTAGTTCCTAGTGACGTGTGTTAGGACCAAGTTCTAATGACTTTTAACCGTTCGTGATATATTGATGTACTTCTTCCAAAGATGGCAAGGAAAAGTAAACTCCATGGGTTAGGTTAGATTAGCTTAGTGAGTGGACGAGAGGGTCCTAATTACCAAGTGGCAGGGCGATGGTATGGGACCGTTAATCTCTCCCTTCTGGTGTAATGGTCTACGTGAATCAGGCAGTCTTAATTGTTACCGTATACAATTATGTCATTGATAACAATAGCAATAATTATCATACTGCAGATAA